AAGTGAAAAGAACTTTTACTTCTCTTAAATATGTTATGCTCGTTAAGTTAATACGAGAACTAAATAATTAGAGAAAGGGACTAAGGGTCTATTTGGTTGGAGGAGAGCGAAGAGCATTGAAGGAAAATTGAATCTCTCTCCTTGTTTGATTTAAAAATCTGAATGGGAGATATCTAAAGTGTTAGCTTCAATTTCCCCTCCTTTCTTTCAAATCAATCCTTTCAAATATGAAGGATTCTATGTCCGTCTTCTATTCTTTCGTCAACTTTTTCTTATCATTGTCATTAAAAATATTAATAATGATAAAAACAAAACAAAAAACAAAAATAAATAAATATAAATAAATAAATCAGAGTAATAATAATTAAACAATTAGTATAAATAAATAAAATATTCAAAAGATACATAATATAAGAAATAAAAATAAAAATAATAATAGTAATAGTAATACTTATAATAATGATAATTGTGAACTAATTAAAAAAAGTAAAACTATTAAAATAATAATAATATCCAATAATAAAAAAATTAAAAAATATAAGCTAAAAATAAGAATTTAAAAATAATAGATGATAAAAATATTTTAAATAATAATTAATATACTAACAATAAAAAATAAAAATAAAAACTAAATAAATAATAACATTTAAAATTATGAATAAATAATATGCATAATAAAAACAATAATAATAATAAATATGAGTAAATAAAATAAAATAATTAAAAAATTAGATAAGAAACATGTACTAATTAAAATAAATAGTAGGTATATAAAAAATTTAAAAAGTGAAAAAAAATATGAATAAAAAATAAAAATATAATAAAAATAATAATTAAAAAATAAAAAAAGTAAAAAAATAATAATTAAAACTTTTCTCCACCTATCCAACTAAACAAGGTGAACGAAAACTTTCTCAACCCTTCTCATTCTTGGGCCCGGTTCCCATGATTTTGGGAATCAATGGCATTACTCATTACATGACCCTAGAGTGCTCCGATGTCCCATTCGTCAAATTGACATTTCCGACCCCACACCCCTCACCCGCCACGACCCGAACACAATACACACCTCCTTCAGTTGCACCTTAACTTAATTTTGACTTTGGATTCAAAATTTGACTCCAAAGTCAAAATTACCTTGGGGTGCAATTGGAGTGGATGTGGGGTGTGCTCGGGTCGGGTCGGAGTGGAAGGTTACCGGAATGTTTGGAGGAGTAGGAACCGTTAATTTTACGAATAGAGCACCGGAACCTCCAGGAACTAAGGGGCTCATTCCTTCCCATCTATTCCTTCTCAGCCACCCCTCCTCCATCCAAACCAATCGGATGTTAAGAGTTTGAATAGAAAAAGAGGAAAAAGAGGATTGGAGCGGGAGAGTTGCACGAAGGTAGTGCGACATGGTCGGTCTCTGCAATAAAATTTTCAACTGTCTCTTTCTCTATTTACTCGGTCCCACCAAAAAAGAATCTCTATCTAGGGGTGGACACGGTACGGTTCCGGGACGGTTCCGGTTCCGAAACCGCCGGTTCCAGTTCCGGAACCGCCGGTTCCGGTACCGCCACCCTGAGTAACCGGATAGGATACCGTTCCGGCCGGTACCGGTTCCGGTTCCCGGACCGGCGGTTCCGGTACCGGACCGGCCGGTTTCGCCCCCCCCTTATTATTTTTTTTAATTTTTAAATTATAAAAAATTGCAATTGTAAAATTGCAATTGTTTAAAAATTGCAATTGTTTAAGGAAAGAATGCAATTATTTCGCCCCCCACCTTTTTTTTAACTTTTTTGCATTTCAAATCAAAAAAAAAAAAAAAAAATTATACCGGAACCGGACCGGTACCGGTACCAAAAAATAGGTACCGGAACCGGTACCGAAAGTGGCGGTACCGGTTCCCGGAACCGGTGACACGGCGACCTTGCCGGTGACGGTGGCGGGTACCGTTGCTGGTGACGGTACCGTACTGGTACCGTGTCCACCCCTATCTCTATCGATTAAAACTATTTACTCCATCCGTACATGTAGATTCTTCTTATTAGATGTGGAATATTAAAAGACTTCACTCAATATACTTTAATATTTAATTTATCTGATAGTAGATATAAATTTTAAAAGTAATATTTTTATATTAAAAATATAGATAAAATATCTTAGATAACAAGAAGTGATTTTGACTATATTACAAGAAAAAAAATTAAATTATGAGTAAAACATTAAAAATAGAGTAAATTCTAAAGATGATCATCTCTAAACGTTTTGCAAATTACTTTAATTTTGAAAAAAAGAAGTTTTGGTGTCTCTTTTGTAAATTACAGGATGCACCTATGCCACTAGCCTTTTTTGGACCTTAATATATACATACGGACACAACCTCTGCCATATTGGGTTTTTGATTGAGAACATTTCACAATGTTTTAAGCATGTGAAATTCATATATACCGTATAATTGTTTGTACGGTGTTACTTGTACATCCGTGATGAATACTAATTTACAAGTAACTGAGTACTCATTGTCTAGATATTGAATACTCATTTTCCAAAATTTAGTTATACTAAAATAATCATCATTTAGTTTCTCGAAAATGAGCAATGAGATACTCGAAAATGGGTGTTCAATTACTCGAAAATGAGTATTTATGCGGATGTATAGGAAATTCCATACATCTAGACGGATGCAATAGTTACTTGTGAAATAAACGTTTGTACTCCTGAACTCCCACCCCATCCACCCTCCCTTGTCCCCCCCCACCCCACCCCACCCCAACAATCCTCCTCGCCTGTAAATAAAATGGAACTCGATCTACCTTAATCAGAATAAAAAGGGTATTAGTATCGGTTATATGAAGGTAATAACATTGGTTAGTCCATACAACTAATTTAATGCAATAGATGAACCCATTTGAATCGGTTATATGAATAATCGATCGATGCCATTGAGGTTTTGACCCTTGTCCCAAATCAACGAGCTCTTAACCGTACGTGTATGTACCCCTTTTTTGCACCTACTTTTTAACAAATGATACAATTTAGGGAGTCTATTTACCTGTTTTTGTATATTAGTGTTAGCAATGCGAATGCAACATGCTCTATATGAAAAGGGGAGCTAATTGATAGTATTTCAGATGAGCAAAAGGTTACAAAACTGGGCCATAAGACAGTTGTGTTAAACCATATTAAAGATTGAATTCAATTGACTACCTAGCTCAACTCAAAAGTTTATATACCAATTTATTTTTCCAACAAATTTATATGTGGGATACTTTAACACTCTCCCTCAAATGAATAATCGGACCATTTTGAATCTCAATGGTTGACCACTTGTAAGTGAATTTCCATCCCTTTAAATGTTTTTTTGAGCACCGACATCTAAAGGACGACCACAAGTCGTTAGGTATAGACTTCCAAACAAGTGGTCGAGTTAAACGGGGCACATACCGTTGGGTATACATTCCACACAGACAACTAGACTAAAGATTAGGGCCGATATGAATGAACGTCTAGACAGACATCTTAAAAGATAATATGGAATAAAACTGGCTCCGATACCATGATAGCGTTTAGGATGTGGAAATGGTTACTAAACTGGGGCATAGGATACTTGGTTGAAATTGAATTCAGCTGATTACTTAATTCAACTGAATAGCTGATATACCGATTATTTTCTTACCACTTTTCTGATGTTTGAGATTCTCTAGTACTCTTCCTCATGCAGATAACCAGTCGATTTTGAATCTAACCGGTTGATCACTTGCAAATAAACTTTCATCCTCTTAATTTTGTTTTAATTTGAGCGTCAACACCTGAATAAAAAATGAGTAATTGCAATAAAATAGATCTACTATATAGAGTATATACTTCATTTCCCGAATTGTGCATAAATATTTTTTAATAATAATACTAAGTCTATTACTAACTCTATTAAATACTTTTAATAATAATACTAACTCCATTACTATTAATACTTTCTCTTTCATTTTTTTGTTTTCCCCAAAACATTTAATTTTCTCTTTCTATTTAAAAACTACTTTTACCCTTATTTTTTCTTACTCTATTTATAATATCATACTTTTTAACTAATAATCTATTTATCACATCTTACTTTTACGCATCATATCAAAGACAAATTGGAAAATCAACCACAAATATATATTCTTTATTTCTTTTAAAAGTTAAAATAAGGACAATTTTATGAAATGGTCATGTTTATTTTAACAGTCAACTTTTCATCTAGATACACAAGTTTCTTTGGGTCTAGTATTAATTAAAAATGGATATGTTTATTATTGGTGGGGTTCCAATGGCATTGGAACCTCATATCATGAAATGACCCGGGGGCACTTCGGTGTCTCGTTCGTAAAATTGACGGTTCCTTCACTCTATAATTCCCCGTTAAGCCTCACATCCTACCCCGATCCGAACATACCCTTCACCCACTTCAATTGCACCTCACAAGTTAATTTTGACTTTGGAGTCAAAATTCGACTTCAAAGTCAAAATTAACTTATGGGGTGCAAAAATTGAAGAGAGTGGGGGGTGTTTGGGTCTGAACGGGGTGAGGGATTAGAGAGGATAGGAACCGTCAATGTTACGAACGTGGCACTGGAGCGCGTCCGGGCCAGCAATGTCATGGATGGGAACCGTCCCGGTTTATTGGATAAGTAAACTTTAATTTTCCTTTGGGTCAAGTATTAATTAAAAACGTGCACGCGTTACGAGTATCTAGTCACTGGAGGAAATTTCACGGAAGTTCCATCTTTCTTTTTAACATACGATTATTCAAACATAGATACTTGGCAGCCAAGGAAGGAAGATACTCACTCTTATTACCGTGTGATTATTTTATATAAATAGCCATTATCGAGGTAAGATAGAAAGAAGTTATTCATAAATATTCAATTCAGCCATATATATATATATATATATATATATATATATATATATATATATAGAAGTGAACTTGAATAAAAAAGTACTGTATATAAATGGGTATCCTGTCGTGTTTATGGGATTCTTCACAAAGGAGGATTGGGTGCCAAGGGGATAAATTTGATCAGCAGAAGCAGGGTAACAGTAAAAATGAAGGAGGTAATAAAACAGGCAAAGTGAAAGAGGAAAAGGTTAAGAAGAAGAAGGGTATGATGAGTTCTGCTGCACCCATTATTCCCATGTCATACTTCCCAGTCACTGGCTCCAGATTGTCTCTTTTGTAAGACTTTCTTTTCGGCCATGGATTGATTAATTCACCCGATGGATGCATTTCTAACTCTTTTCTTACCTATTTGGGTTTTTGAACTTTGGATATTGTAAGATGGATTAAGCTAGTTGTACAATTCTACCCCAAGAATTGAACCCACTAGATTTGCACCTTCATTTTGTGTTAGTGTAACGTTAGGATGGTGCTTCACACAAACACAAAATGTTAGTGCAAATTTTTGTTAATGCACCGACATTTTGTGTCAGTGTGAACTATCAAAATGTTAGTATATATCTTTGGTGTACCTTTGGGGTAAACTTTTTGGTGTGTGTAAGTGTAGCATGGTTGTTGTAAAATGTAACACCATTTTGACATTAAATTCTCATACACACACCATATATACACATATACACAAAAATATATTGTTTGTGTAGAAACAATTATAGTTTGTGTGGCGTATGTGTGACATGTTTTAATGTCAAAATGGTGTTAAATTCTTGGATTCGGCTAGCATTTTTGTACTTCCTAGTTATCTACTACTAGAAGAAATTCTCTAGAGCGAGAATGTGAAAAATAAAATCCATATGTAATTTATGTTAGTGCATGTAAAATGTTATGTTTTGTTCTTTTATCAGTAATTTGGTTTACTAGTCGTTGATGCCTATGCTTTTTTTTTAAAATCTTGTTCTGATTAGTTGAAGATAACTAATTATTAAAGAATCTAAGACGAGTGTGTTTTGGTGTTGACTTTCAAAAATTGTCTTTGGATGTGATGAGTAAAAAAAAGTGTGATGTGCTAGGTAAATTAAAACTTAGAAAGGGTAAATAAAAGTGTTTTAATATAAATGAGAAACATTTTTTGGGACGAAAGAAAAGAGTAAATAAAAGTAACGTTTTTTGTGAGACGGATGAACTATAATACTCCCTCCGTTCTCAAAAACACTTTCTCTTTCATTTTTTCCACTTCCAACAAAACACTTCCCTTTTCTACTAAAAAACCACTTTTACCCTTACTTTTTCATACCCTACCTATCACATCATACTTTTTCTCTAATAATCTATCCATCACATCTTACTTTTATCCATCACATCATGGGCAAAATTAGAAATCAAATATAATTTAACACTTCCTTATTTTTGCCCCCAAATCAAATGGGAAGGGTTTTTCCAAACGGAGAGAGTACTACTCAATGCATTTTTAATAAGTCTCTTTTTCGTATATCCCAAAAACATTTCCATCAAAGAAAAAAAGCATGGTTCACAGTATATTTCTCGTTTACGAAAAATTTAACCACATAAACTTCATTTTCAATATTTTCTAACACTCTGAAATCGGACGCTAGTAACTTATTATATGTCCTTGATATATGATCTATAATGTGCAAGGTTTTAAATACTAAAATAGGAGACTATTTATATATGATCAAGTTTGACCAGATAAAAATTTCAATTTCACACAATGGGGCACTAACAAATGATAGTAACACCTGAATTTTGAATCAAAATGAAAAATAGTAAGAAATGTGGAGTATGAAATTGGAGATTTCAATAATGTTCAAAAATATACTCCCTAGCCATTAGTAAATAATTAGAGAATTCATGAGTACATTAGAAGATAGACTTTTACTCGAAAATAATGTTGAACGCATATCATAGTTAGACATTTTCCTTTTAAACCTATATTTGTAGTGCCATTTTTCATCTTCAACTTGTAAAATTTCCATATCAGGCACGATATTTGTCAAGAATTTGATGCATATATCCTACGAAGTATTTCCAACAATTTTCTTGCAAAGTTTTATCTCTATTTTGCTACACTAATGTCCTCAATACATGTTGAAATTTATTACAAAATTGACATTACATCTAATCAAGGGTGGAAATTTGCTCAATTTCTTCCATTTGATATTGGACCGTTAGATCTGCTCAGAATTGAAATTGGTTTTCTCAATCTTGTTATTTCTATACTACGTATGTGTTAAATATAGAATAGCTTAGGTGTCTTTGGTTATTGGGCCGAAAACCCCATTCGAAGGGCAAGTTCGGGCAAATGCAAGCCAAACAGAGAAAGCACTCGGTCAATCTGCCCAAAGGCCCAAACGCCCAAGAGCAGTCATGGACCGAAATACCGTGGCGAAAGAAGCAGTTGAGCTGGACCGATTCTCAGCCCACATCCTTGACACTCAACCCATATTTTAGTAAGATGAACGTTACATTCTCTTTTCTTTTCTTTTTTTTTTGACAAAACAGCTGAACGATACTATTTTTTTATAAGTAAATTAAACAAAACAAAAGAAAAAGTGAAATTTGCACTGAATATGACTAAAATATAAGTCATTTTCCAATGTAGGACTTACACTTTTTTATTTCTTAAATAGGACTTTATAATGACTAGTAAGAAGAATGTCCAAGTCATGCCGGACATTTAGTTGAATAATGACTAATAGATAATGATGGGTGTATTCCACCCATGACCGGTCAAAGGAAGAGACCAGATAGTTGACCGGTCAATCTTGAAAGTTGAAGAGAAGGACTTTAATCATCAGCTAGAGAACACTCAAATCGGTCAAAAGATGACCAGTATACTTTAGAAAAGTATACCGGTCAAACTATTACATGGTTCCATTCATCCTTGTTGGTGGGTGTATTCCACCCATGACCGGTCAAAGGAGAAGACCAAATAGTTGACCGGTCAATCTTGAAAATTCTGGAAAGGGAGACTTTAATCGTCAGCAAGTGGGTATTTGATCGGTCCGAATTTGACCAGTGTACTTCGGGAAAAAGTATACCGGTCAAACTACTTATCACTCCATTCATTCCCTAAGTACGATAAACTCATCCCTCAGAAATTACCCGGTGTAGTTTCTAGGGTTGGAAAGTGTCGGCAGAGGAGAATCTACGAGGGCTTGGCGTGTAGCGACCCGTGTCAGTAGAGGACAACTGGAGATGCTGAAGAATCCATCCAAGGCACTACCTGACAAAGGGAATAATCCCCCTCACAAGGCGACAAGG